AGTCCTACATCCCCCTTCACGTCAGAGTCCCCCCTTCACATTAGAGTCCCCCTTTCACACCAGAGTCCTTAGTCCCCTCTTCACATAAGAGTAAAGCAGCTTGGCAGAAGGAGGAGGTGGAGCAGGTCTGGATGGAGACAGACTCTAGATACAGACTTCCCTCCATCCTCTTCTGAATGATGGGACAGCCCTAAATGTCGCCAACACTGGAATAGTGCGATGCGTTTGCATGGTGATGGTGGTCTGAAATATGGGACAAACTGTTTCCTGTACTGAAGCAATACATTACACATCATGTTTTTTGGAGGACACCTCTGATGAACCCAGGCAGGACCCCAAGGTTGAGAATAAAACTGGAACTCTGCTCTGTGACTTGTGAACATAGGAGTTTAATGGCTGCTTAGTTGTCACTGATCCCTATAAACTATTTTTTCCAAGGTTCCTACAGACTCTTCGGAGAGGAAAGATTATCAACTTTGACCATCACCAAGTAGGATAAGTCATCATTGGCAATCGAGGATTATTGTTTAGCAGAAGTACTTTTCTACCAGGCTAACAAAGCCACAACCATGAGATAGCAGTAGAATCGGGGACAGATTTCCGACAAGGCCACGGGGTCCACCCTCAGGCCAGCAGGGGTGTAGAGTCTCCCGACGCCTGGGACATGCGGTTCCAGGCATCAGGCGGGTAGTTTTCTACATTTAGCCCTGCTTTGGGCAAGCAGGGCTAAATGTACAACAGGGAAGCCGCTTGTTCGTGTACAAGTGACCTCGGCGATGTCGCCAAAATCACTTGTAATAAGACTGCAGGTCCGTCCTGAGAGAGGGTAAATCCGGACCTGAGTAGAATGTACTGTGCAGAACCATCATGGTGCCACTACCTCTGCCTTCTTCTTTCCCAGAGTCCCTTGTCATGTGCATATGTGCTGCTATTGCTCTACCATAGGTCAGTCAACTTTGACAATACCTCACACTCAACTGTCCCACTTTCTGAAAAATATTCCCCCTTTTATTGTCCCGCTCGTCCCATCTCCTGCGCAATGTCCCACCAGGCAGTCAGCAGCAAACTGCGCAAAGTGTAACACTGTATTTCCTGTTACAGGAAAGTTTCCTCGCAGTTCAGGAACGTCACCAATGTACTTGTTTTTCCCTATTAACTTCAATATCCTGTCATCCTGGCAACCCCCTACTAAGAATGACTGTGAAATATTTCTTACCAGATCGATTTTATTGGTTCGCCACAGGACACCAACCTCTGAGAACTGTTTAAACATCCCCTTCAAGTTCACTATAATGATTGCCGCTAAGATGGCCTGCAATAGCAAAAGGATTAAATATGTCAGTGTCTCCTATTTAATCAGAATTATTAGAAAGCAAACCTGTCATGAGAAAAATACAAACGCTGCCCCCAGGGCTTGACAGTCTCCTAGTTGCATAACTGTTAGGTCAACCCTAAGAAGGCTTGATGTGACAAATGGACTTAAAATTCTTATAAACTTTCAGTTTAGATTGGCTAATCCCATTGCAGGTGCATCAAAACAAAAGGAGAGCAAATGTGTAAAGGTTTGTTTTCTCTCGAAAGCAGGCACAGCTTGAGTAGAAAAGCCTGCCCCCTGCCAGCATGCTGCAGGGATGGAGCATCGCTCTGTGTGTGGAAGCAGTGGTCTCTCTGCAGAGGTCCAACATGCCCCTTGCTGAGTCAGAGCTGTGGCTTTGCAAGGAGCAAAGCTCATGTTCCGTGTTGATTGGAAAACTCTAGCGCTGACTCAGCAGGACCTCTGCAATTATATATTAAAGCACTGCCACTAATATATCTGTCAATGCCTCAGTGGTGCTGCTCTGCCACTGCACACAGGCACCTTTCCTAAAACTTATTCTGCTGGTTTGGATTGAATTTTCCAAGACCTTTACTATGGATTCAGCTGATATCTAGTTGATTTTTAAAGCCGTGAAGGAGGATTGCTAAGCACCGGAAACATGTTGGCTGCCTTGCATTGTTGTCAGTCGTGGAACCAATAAAATACAGTTTTTGGCTCTTCTTTGTTTGAAATGCACAGTGAATATGGCAGTGACTGATACCTTGAATATGATTGCATTTTGTCATTGTGAATATACACAGTATCCTTATTTTATATCATTTTGCCCATTTGCAGTTGTGTTTACCTTTGGTAAGTCCTGGAAGAGCTCCCCAGCCCGGAGGATGATCACAAACATAACAAATGATGCGATAGCGCTGGCTATCTATTGCAAACAATGAAAAAAGTAATAAAACCATGTTACATCCTGCGCTCCAGAATATAATCATCAGACAAAAGGATATACATTGTATCAACCAAACAGATCCTAGCTGTTTAGTATAAGGGCAGATGTCTTTACTGTGATTGGCTACAGGTTTTCTGCCCTGACCTGTGCAGGTAACTCACCTGGCTGTTTCCTCCAGTACTTTCTTGAAGCACGGACCGGGACACAGAGGCACTGATGGGAAAACACTGGAAGAAGCTCCCAACAAAATTACTGACGCCAATAGCGATCAGCTCCTGAAAGAGGAACAAAAAAGGAACATTCTTTAAAAGAACTACTTCTGGCAAAGCCAAGAATTACAGTGATCTGCTGCTCCTTCACTGTCCAATCACAGTCTTGGCCAAGCTGTATGGCTTTGCATGCAATGGAGAGAAGCCAATGGTCAGAACCATTGTAAATTTAACTTTACATACAGCTAGCATAAGTACCCAAACCAGTCTTGATATTAGCCATCTATAATCCCCAGGAAGGGCAATACTCTCTGTAGTCTGGTGCTGTACAGCGTGGCAGCACCAGGTACGACCGCCGTGCGTGCGTTAGGATTAACACCTGTCCAGACTATCTGACTCCAAGGGTTGGGATCATGTTACTAGAACAGGGGCGGTCCACAACTTGCACACCTTCCATCCTGTTCTTAGACAATCAGCATCTGCCTTCACACCTTCCATGGTGATTGGATTAGGGGGACTGAGCCACAGATGTGGGTATAAATGCTGGGGTGTGTTCCTGACACTCATTAGAACTGAAGTAGCCTGGACAAGCTGCAAAACATCTTCAACATTACAGAACCAGTCCAGTTGATTGCGACTGACTACTAACAGCTAGGTAAATAACTTCCAACATTTTTGGGTCATATGGCCCATCATACCTGGTTGCTGTCCACCTGGTAGCCATGCTTAGAGGCAAACACTTTTCCCAATGAAATAGTAATGGCATATCCCACCACGGCGATAGCGAATGAGTTCCCAATGATGTCTCTGAACAGGCTGAAGTCAGGTAACATAGGAACCTTTAGGCTGGAAAAAAAAATTGATGTTACTAAGGGAATTGGGGTTTCTAGGTGCTTAAGGCCCCGTTCACACCTGAGCCTTTGCAGCGTGAATGTCCAGGCACTACAATGTTCAACAGGAGGAATTCCATTGTTTTCAATGGACTCAATGGTTTCAAAATGCCTGTACAAATGCTAAAAAAAAACCCAGAGGAACGACCAAAGACGCTCAGCTCAAATGGGAATGGGGCCTAAAGGTTTGCTGGCCTCAGGATGCCCTCAGTGCCCTTACAGTAAACCTAATAAAATTGTAGAAATGTCACCAGCACACTAGTCCTTTTAAGATAGCAAAAGCTTCATTTATTGAAGTTTTTTGTCATATGACCAAACAAGCGCTTTCGTGACCGCACAGGGTCCCTTCATCAGGCTTTAATGCTAAAGCCTGATGAAGGGACCCTGTGCGGTCCCAAAAGCGCTTGTTTGGTCATATGACAAAAAAATGAATGAAGCTTTTGCTATCTTAAAAGGACTGGTGTGCTGGTGACATTTCTACAATTTTGCTGACATTCGCGGCACCATCCGCAGTCACTGCGAGCACCCCCCACTACAAGGGGCATATCGGTAAGGAGTGCGACAAGGATAGTACTTACTTACTTACTTACAGTAAACCTGTCACTAACATAGCATTTGAAGTAGAGGTCGCCATGAGTAAAAGCTGAATGTCAAAAGGACAGATTTATTCCAGAGATAAAGTCAGCAGAATTTCTCTAGCAGCAGAGAAAAAAACCCATTAAAAAGTAAACATGGCCATATCCCTGGCCCTATCATGCAACCTTCACTATAACAGACCAATAGGACTATGCATAGGAACAGCTTTCACTTCCTAGGTTGGTGGCATCATTGCATTACATGCCAATCATCAAATTTAAAAAAATCAAAAATGATTCTGCGATTAACCTTTAGATTCCACTAAACACAAAAACAATGTCAACAGGGTACAAATACTAATGATACAACATCTCACATTTCCAACATTACGCAAACATGTAAATATAGTGAAGCAATAAATGATGAGAAACCTATTTGTAAGTACCAATAAAAAATAATTTTTCAATTTAAAAAAAAAGTTCAAAAATAACCCAAAAAAGTAATTAAAAAATACCAAAATCTACAAAAGTTTCACCAGAATCCTCTTGCTGAAAAATAATAACTTCAGTGCCCCACACCACTAATGGATTTTTTTTTTAGGTAGGGGGTGTGGGGGGGCGTGATCCTGTCACCAGAGTAAAAAAAATTGCCTTCATCATCCATCTTGCCCAGGAAAAAGTAAGAAGTGTAATGTATCTGGCTGCCAGGAGAGAAACAAACCACCTTCATCCGTGAAGCTCTTATAGTTCTTATACATGCTATTGTCCAAAGGGGACCCCCATCTAATTAATGAACCAATAGAAGTGTCTTGGGAACTATCGATCCCCCTAAAAAAGTATCAAGGTCAAAAAACAGTAAACTGCGTGATTATTAATTCAGGAGGACACTAAGTCCAGTAAACAAAGAAAAAAACTAATCAATGATTACAATGTTCTCTATTAAAGTGATTCATTCAGACAGTGTATAGCCAACAAATTAGAACAAAATAAATGTATAAGTAGCTTGGGTACCTGTACCAGACTTCCTCAACTTTATTTTGCCAGGTGTTATGGTCTTAGCACTGGCAGAATAATCGCCGTAGCGACCCAGGTGGCCGCTATGGATCCCGGGGCACAGGCGGGCCCGGCTAGGACATCCCCCTGATGCTGTGCGGGCCGCCTCGGCTACTATGGCATCGTAGGCTGCTGGCTGTCACTGGCGGCTGTAAGGAGGAATGCTCTACTGTCCAGATCACTGACAAGCTGTCAGTGATCTGTGTAGCGGTGCATTCCTCCTCACAGCCGCTGCTGAGTCAGTGACAGCCAGCAGCTGTGGAGGAGGCTGTGTGGCGTCGGAGGAGGAGGTGGCGCCCCGCGCTGGAGGAGGAGGCAGACAGCGGATCGGGGCTGACAGGTAAGAGGTGTGCAGGGGTGTGACCAACCCATCTTAGACCCTGCAGAGCCCACCATAGAAAATCTATGGTGGGCTCTGCAGGGTCAGTTTCAGGTGGGCTGTTTGGGATATCAGTTGGGCTCTGCAAGGGGCGTAACTAGGAATCATAGGTCCCCATACAACATTTTGCTAGAGGGCCCTGTGATTTCTAGTTACGCCCCTGGGTTTTAGGATACCTGTAGATTCGTGTAGCACGCTTTAAAGTTATTATTATTATTATACAGGATTTATATAGCGCCAACAGTTTGCGCAGCGCTTTACCATATAAGGTTGAACTCCAGCCTTCACGTCAGTCTTGCACAGTTGTACCGGCTCCTCTCCTGGACTGAAATAGCTTCCTCTGATGTCACTGCACACTGGGAGCTTCTCACAATGTGCATTAGAAGCTGCAAGTCAGATAGAGCCCGCCTCATTTCCTGGCTGGAGGACATCCAGCATTATTTAGTTCTTTCTTCCCCAGCCTGACTGTCCCGGTTCCACCCCTTTCATTTATTGGGTTTCAGTCCTTTCAATCACAAAGGCTAAGCATCACATGTGGTCTGCAAGCAACCTCCAATCGGGAGATAGGTCACCCCTGATAAGGGGTGAAGTTCATGAGAGACCCAGATGACCACACTCAGAGAAGCTGCAGGACATAGCTTCAGTGCAGCGTGCAGCCCTAAAAGCTCCTGGTGTTGGGAGGGCGGTCTAAGCTCTTCAGATATGCGAGGTGTTTTCCTTCTTCACTTTACTTATGGCCCTCCAGATTTGAAGGTCTCCTACTACCAACCAGGCCTTACATGCTACTGGTTATGCTGGAGGGCTTGAAGAAGTAGAACCAAGTAGGAAGCCTTGACACAAATAACATCCATTATTCCAAAGAGTACCCAACATCTATGTACAACTCACCCAACAGGGATGTGGCCAACATTTTCTATTCCATACTTGTCATACAGTCCAACACCGTAGGAGATGCCGGTAGAGACAATGAGCTAATGATGAAATGACAAAAGAGAAGTCAGTACAAGATCTCTTCATACAAGCTTGGATTATTTATATGTATATTTCATCCAAGATATCCATTCACTCCAAAGCTTTAAAAAAGGCACTCTGACCAATAAAGATATCCATGACAATGGCCTTGGCCTCCCCATTGAGTCTTTAGCTTTTCTGTGCCATTCTTGTTTACTGGAAATGTTGCACGTGCAACATGGCTGCTTTGTCCTGAAGAGCGAGATTCCCTCTTCAGAGGCCACAATTTTACCTATGTTAAGTCTCTTTTCTGCCTTCTGACACACGTTTGAAGTGAACTCTGTCACCCTCCGACACCATTAGGGCTATGGACTGGACAAACTGGAGAGACCTTAGTTTAGCAATTCATGTTTTCCTTCTTCTCTCTTTTATCAGCATTTACATTTTAACTAATGCACAGGGATTACATGACCTCTCTTTAAAGAATTTGCTTCACATGCCTATTTGATTCAATGTGTTAGGTGCCAGGAATCAGGAATGATTACAGAATGGGCCCTAGGCAAGGTAGCAGCTTTGGCCCTCTGTTGTTTCAAATGACATGGATTGCAACAGGCACAAAGAAGCCACCGCATTTGCATTGTCTGTATTGGCGTTTCCATAACTGCCTACACTACATCCTCCCTTGTAAAGTGACATGCAGGTGTATAAATGTAACCAATTGCACACTCCCCCGGGTTTCCTGCAGTAGCGTGGAGGTTGTTGCTGGACCCCCTAGACATCCAAAAGGCCCAGTTTGCCTTGTACATGACCCAGCTCTAAATGCTTCCATGCTGCTCAGCACTCACGTAATCACTGGTGATTACAAACTGCTAGAAGCAGCAACTACAAGAGTTCAGCTACAGTACAGTCAATCTGCTGTACCGGATAGAGAACAAGAAAGGCATCAGAAAATCTTCTAACTGTGCATTGTAAGGAGGCTGCAGGTTGTAATTTCTATTGACTGTATAAGTGCATTACAGAAGAGTTCAAGGCAGAGTTCTGCTTTAATGTTTTTTTATATTTACCAGGATCAATTCAATCGGAACTGGGATTAGAAGCTTGGAAGCAAATTTCTCATTAAAAAATTTCATCAGAATGAGGACCACAGTGGAGACAACGCTGGTGACCAACGTGCCGATGTTTGTGTGGGTGATTCTTGACAACAGATTTACTACAGTCTGAAGACAAAGAAAGACAACGCAGTTACAAACCGAAGTATACCTAGCCCTGGAAATGCAGTATGACAAAGTCTGCAGACCGATAGCTAATGACCTTATTTATCACATTGTGTGAAGGAAAGACTGCAGCATTATGAATGATGGAGAGTCAGAATCTGACTGGTTAGCCTGAGGACCCAGAACAGCTTTTTCTTTTTGACTCATCGATAAAAGAGGTACTCAAGTTTAAATTATACATAACATACTGCCCGCTATCATACCCTCCGTTCTCCTCTTCTACTTATACTACCCTGTGTCATTACCTCTACACATACTGTTACCACTTGTGAGAGAGCAACCTGTACCTACATATATTAATGACAGTGGCTCCGTTTTCTGGGTCATTCTAATCCCAAAGAGGTATTTGAGCTGTGACACCAGCACGTGGACTGCCGACGCTGTGGTGTATCCGCTTATCAACGGGTCAGAGAGATATGTCACGACACATCCAAACTGGATCAGGCCAAGAGCGATCTATGGTTACAAGACACATGTTGGTAGGACGGCTATAGTAACTTTTTATGACTTCAAACAATTAGAGTGAACATCCAAAATGTAACAGCATTCTCAATTGGATGGGAGTGAAGAGACTTGGGTGTATGGGTGGAAGGCCGAGTAGCGAGGAACAGTGAGAAGGAAAGTGGAAAGTGTATCTTATCAGCCTGGTTAAAATCCATATTTTGGAATCCATTTACTCTAGTGAAGAGTTGCACAGGAAGAAATGGCAAGGTAAGGAGCAGAAAGAAGAAGAGAGGAATCTTAATCATGGGCATACATGACTGTCTTTTGCATAGATAGTGATGAGTGAAGTTATCAGAGAGCTATCAGAGGATGCAGAGGAAAAAATGACTAAGTGCATCAACATCAACATGTCCAAACAGGAAGTACATTTACCATAACCACATGGAAAGGCCAACCTAATGACATGGCTCTCAATCTCAGCCATGGCAATATCTGAAGAACACAGGATCAGAAAACCCAAGATTGTCCTATGGTAGCAACTTACCTGAAACAGTCCTGCAAGGAATGCCAGCGCCATGGCCAGCTCCACTCTCATCGCGTCTCTGGCTACCGTGTCGATAAATGTTGCATTTTCTCCTGCCATAAAGTTCTCGTTGGGCGCCAGGGATTCCGTGACACTGCCAATCATGACACAGACCACAGCGAATGTTCCTGTATCACACCACAAAACGCACACAAGGTTATGGACGGAGGTAAGCCGGTAGATGTGGTATATCTGGATTTCTCAAAGGCATTTGATACGGTACCACACAAATGCTTACTTCACAAGCTGAGGGCTATGGGCATAGATGAGGTGGTGTGTACGTGGATAGAGAACTGGCTACGGGAACGTGTCCAGAGGGTATCTGTAAATGGCACCTTTTCAGACTGGGCTAGTGTAATGAGCGGTGTGCCTCAGGGTTCTGTGCTGGGTCCCATATTGTTCAACTTATTTATTAATGACATCGGGGAGGGTGTTAACATTTCCGTGTTTGCGGATGACATCAAAATTGGGAGGGTTATTGACACGGAC